TTTAGAAATATTGTTGAAAGAGAACAAAGACACTTGGCTTTTGTTTTGTTCTGTTTTTGTTTTCTGTTGTTGTTAGCACCTTTTATTCTTTTCCTAAGTAAAAGAAAAAAGATGTTTTTTCTTCTTTTAGTACAACCTTTTGAATTCCTTATTATTATGTAGATCGTATGACTTTTAATCTCTTTTGCCAACGTGCCAGCTTGTTAACTTTATAAAGATTACATAGTTATATCAGTAGCACATAATTAGTAAATATAAGTAGACTATAATTTCTATGTGTTTTTTATGTGAATGAAACTATTAATTAAGTAGGTAGAGTGAATTATAGTGAAAACGAATAAGAAAGAAAACAAAAGATCAGACGCCAAACAGGCTGATAGACTGTTGTTGTCCATAACACTTAGAGAGATAAATAACTAGATATGACATTGTAGACTGGTGTTTATGCCAAAAGTTTTGTTAAGATTTTAAGAATTTTTATTTCATTAGGTAACTTATGATTTAGTCAATAAAAATACAAAGCAGTCACCTTCTTGTGTTTTGTGAAAACGGCGGAAATACTGATTATAATTATTATTGTTTCCTTTAATTCCTAGAGGAACATAGGGCTTCAGTCACGCGTGTCCTTTGCTTTCGGTTCTCTGCTAGAGTTTTCACCTGGCTCCAAGTCTGTCCACATGCTTTCATCTCCTCTTCACATGACTTCCTCCAAGTCACCCTCACCCTTGCACTGACGACCAACTCGCCGCTTCCCTTTCGGGTTCCACTCGAGCAATGGCTTGTCTAGTGATGTCACTTGATGGTTTTCTCAGAGTATGGTCAGACGATCCACCTCCATTTCTTCCTGCCTTTCTGGTTGGTTCGCTCCCAGAGATCCCACCCTGTTGCTGATCTTTTCTGACCGGCCATCTGATCTTGAGTATTGAGCGAAGACAACTGTTAATGAAGGTCTGTAGTTTGTTTGAGATGCTCTTTAGGACGCGCTGGCCAAGTCTCTGATCCGTATGGTGAGTAGCACTGACTTCACATTTGAGCTGAAAATCCGAATCTTATTTTTGATGCTAAGTGCTGTTGACCTCCACACAGACTTGAGAGTAGTGAAATACTGAGCATGTATTTATGATTTGATTATCTGAGATTACTCAGTTACATTCACTGACAATCTGTCAACTCAAGACTGTCTCAGAGAGTTTCACAATTGATTATCAGCCTGCTCTTCACCTTCTTACTGATTTAGCATGATTATGAGTCACAGGAGATCGTATTGAGTTGATTGTGTGATGAAAAACGAATAATAGTTTATCATTTATTCTGAGGCAGGGTTGGAAAAGTAAGACGTTAAGTAAGTAAGTAAGCTTCATTAATTTGAAATCAATGTGGAAATCTGCTGTACTCAGAATAAAGAAGAAAATCTGGATTTTCAGCACTAACGTCAAATCAGTTCTTCTAAATGTGGTTCAGAGACTTAAAGCATAACTAAAAGCATTTCTAAAAGCATTCTGCAGACTTTTATCAACAGTGTTGCCTTAACTGTATGCTGAATATCACCTAGTGGACTAGAGAGGATAAATAACAAGGAACTCTAGTAGGCAACAAACTAACCAAGAAGTTACTGCTCAACAAGTATGCAGAGAGAGAAATGGGGATGTACGCTTGGAAGACTGTTGATTGACATCACATACCAGGCTCTTAAGTGGAACATAAGTGGGAAACGACGACCTGGGCTTGGGTCCGAGGATGACATGGAGGAGGTCATATGCAGTGGAGAGGATGAGTGCTAATAGGCGATTGTGGAGTCGGCTAAAAGAGACTCCACAGGACAGGATGAAATGGAGATACACTATTGAAGCCGTATGTTCTGCTCGGAACTCAAGGGAATAATAATAATTAGTTACTAACTGATTACCAGACTATGACGTCATAGTTGTTTTGTTCAAGAGTTTATACTCAAATATTTGTAAAAGTCTTAGTAGTAAGTAGTATACGGAAGGGATGAAGGAAATTGTGAGTGAAATACCACGTACTATGAAAAGAAACAAAGGCTACGTAACTATTTGTAAATGATGTTTAAATTGGACAAAGGTGCTAGCTAGAAAGATGACTGCTTTAACTAATGTTTGAAGAAGTAATCTATAAATACGAAAAGTTCTAGTCAAGTCTAAATAGGTCATAGGATAATAACTAATAATGCAAAAGAATGTGAAGCAAAATACAATGACTCTTAGTTTTGCAGCGAAACTTAAACTTTTCAACTCCATACATATTAAACATAAATTAAAGGCTTCAAGCTAATATTATGTAAGAAATAATTAAAAAAGTATAAATTCTCTTTTTTGATCCTGAGATAGACTTCATTATTAATTGCTATAGAACATGAAGATTTGAAATATCTATTCAGTATCTGTATGATAATTTGCTAACTCTCAATCCGTAATTTCTCTATTACCTTCCCGCTGGAACATAGGGTTTCAAACTCTAAATTTTTAGTAGCTATAGTATTGTCTGAATTTCACCGACAATATATGTTTGATTTCCCACAAACTGGAAGATATGCAAGTGAAAATCGACAAGTTGGCAGAACAAGCATCAAAGATAGGATTTCAGGTGAACCTAGAGAAAACAGAGATGATGAAGATTCCTGGACAACAGCAACACCAACACCAACAGACAACAATCAGCATAAATGGGAGGAATCTAAAGAAGCAACCTCCTTTAACTACCAGGGAAGCATCGTTGCAGCTACTGGCAGAACTGATGATGATATCAAAGCGAGGATCATGAAGAAAGCAAGGCAAGCTTTCATTTCTCTCAAGTCTGTGTGGAGGTCAACAGCACTCCTCAACATGAAAAATAAGGTCCGGACTTTCAACTCCAATGTGACGTCAATACTACTATACGGATCAGAGACTTGGCCAGCGCGTCATAAAGAGCATCTCAAACAAACTATAGACCTTCATTAACAGTTGTCTTCGCTCAATACTCAAGATCAGATGGCCGGCCCGAAATAATCAGCAACAGGGTGTGATCTCTCGGAGCGAACCAGCAAAGCAGGAAGTAGTTTTGCAGCAAATATACAGGAAGAAATAGAGGTGTATTCGCCATACTCTGAGAAAACCATGAAGTAATATCTCACGCCAGGCTATTACTCGAATGTAACTCGAATGGGAAGCGGCGAGTTGGTCGTGAGTGCGAGGGTGACATGGAGGAGGTAATGTGAAGAAGAGATGAAAGCATGTGGGCAGATGTGGAACCAGGTGAAAACGTTGGCAGAGAACCGAACGCAATGGAGACGTGCGACTGAAGCCCTATGTTCCCCTAGGAACTAAAAAAGACAACAATAATATTGAAATAATAGTATCGTCTCATAAGGTAGCATTATTAGCCTCACATACCCACACTCGCTATTGGAAATTGAACGCAGACCACTTGTGTAGCCGGTGAACACCGTACCATCCAACCACCAAAACACTTTCAATTTATTTTAGGTGATAATTTTCTCGTGTGGGCTGTGTGTACATTTATAGCATCAAAACAGTACGAAACAACTGATTAGCAGCCTATGATATTTTGAACTTTCATTTATAAAACTCTTTTCGTTTTTATGGCATTATTTAGAACTGCTATAAAGCGATGTCATTTGAGGGATTACTGGAAACCAAAGACTAATGAATTGCTATTTCATGGCAGTTTAGGTGCCTTCAGATATAAGAGACCGTTTCCCTTAAGTCATTGAACCAGCAACCCACAGGCAACGAAGCAACTACGTTACCGTTAGACTAATAAACTAAGGTTCATGAATTCTATCTTGTGCCGATTTCCTGATTTAACACTATCATCATCTAATATCATGAGTCGGTTTCCATTGTCATAGGTGACTTGGTGGACCCTACCGGACATGACTTTTGGTTAGAATTCCAGGACGTTCATACTGTAGTCACTTTTTAATCAGCCTCTGATTAATGCTGAAGTGCGGGTTGGTGAGAATTTAGCTGATTTCAAAGTAGATTTAATCACTGAGAGATATCACAACTAGAACCTTTTTCTACAAACTTATAAAAAAATATGTAACACATCAAAAGAATTCATTTGCAATATTTTCGATTGCTTCGTTAAATGATGTGAGATTAAATTTTAAATAGTATTATATTTCCCTTGAAATCTCTGTCTACTGTGAAAAATCATCAGTAAAGCACAGGATATCTAACTGAGGACAAGTTTGACAATTACCTCCTATTACTAGATATTTTTCAAACATTCTAAACTGTAAAATTCAGTCACTGAATTTATCCTCTTGAAGAACGAGATCATGTGTATAATGTAATGTTCAGTTACTTAGTTAGTTGGTTAAACTATCTGTCTGATACAACATTATCTGCTTCTATTGTCACTAAAATCTCCAAAAACAAACTATCGTTTAATCTTTAGATTTTCAGATTTATGGGATTCAGATTAATTTGAAGTGTCAGACTTCCTCACGAATACAATCACTTAGCAAACACTGATGGCACTGGGAGCACTGGATGGCCATTTCCTCTTGGTATTGGTTGGCAACGAAACCTAACATTTGAAACTAACCCGAATTCCCACAAAATCTATAATCTAAGTAACAATATCCAGCTTACTGACAGCTACTGCATGAATGTCCTTCAGCTATACTGAGTATTTATGGCCAGTGGGGTCTACCATGTCAAGTGAAGCGGAAGCTCACCGAAGACACTGGTAGTGAGTAGTGCCATATCATGAAACGACAGAAGTTAGAATCCATGCATCATTAAATTCCAGCCCAAGTGGCTAAATCATCAACCTGAAAGTCCCGGGTTCTATCCCTAACGAGCTGGTGGGTGTGCACTGATGGAGAGTCACAAGCCAGGATGAAACACCTATCCAATGCTCCTTTGTTTTTAATCATCTTTAACTGATGTCAGTTGGTGACGAAATCTAACAAGTGAAATTATTCAATCAACTGAACTTTTAGCATATTTTGTTTTTTATTCACTTACCCTTTACCAAGAAGAACTTCTGGACTGCAAAATTCTATTGTTCCTGAAATATCCATTCTAATCTCTCCAGGTAATACTTGTATAGCAGAACCAAAATCAATTAATTTTAAATGAAATAAATCATCAATTATAATATTTTCATCTTTTATATCACGATGAGCGATATTTAATTGATGAAGATAGTTTACAGCTGACACGAGCTAAATAAAAGTTTTTTTTATAAAAAAGACAAACAAACAAATATAGATGCATAATTTGAATGTTATGGGGAGAAGATTTTGGTACTTCTTAGAATAGGTGTAATTAAAAAACGATAATGATTAGAAAATCGTTGAAAGTCAAGGAGCAATTTATTTCGTCCTAGTCTAGGAGACTTTAGCAGTGTAGACACTTCATTATGCAAAATAAAGAAACCAGAATTGTCTGACTGTAAGGCAAATTTGTGATAGTTCAGTCCATGAGTCGACTGAAATTCATTGGTCTTTTATGTCTAAATAAATGTAACTTTATAGTGCTTCCGTAGTCCTGAGAATAGCGAGGATGAACCCTAGTGCCTTGCCTAGTTTACTAGAGGGTGGTAGGCCTAGAAAAGATGGATGGCGGGTGTGCGGCTATTAACCCCACTCAGTGAGAGAAAGACATCATGGCTGCTGAAATTTTAGCGCTTGAAGTCCTATGTTCCATTTGTGATGAAAGGAATTAAGTAAAAAATAAAGGAGACAATGCGAAGTGGTCACGCTATGTTAGAATCCACGGGACATTGGATCAGGTCGTCACGGCTTAATGGTTTACGAGCTCGCCTTGTTACCAGAAGGTCCCGGTTTAGAACCCCGGAGGATACGTACAGATGGAGAGCCCCAAACTAGGACGAAACAGCTTTCCGGTTTTCCAATGGTTCTTTAACTGTTGTCAGCTCATGATGAAATCCTCACACCAAATTAAACAAAATCCCTACAGAAACCAATACTTGAAAATAAGTAAAAATAGTTGCGAATCAAAGTTACAGTTTTGTAAATAGTCATTTAAAGGCCATTAAAAAAAATGAATATTAGTCATATTTAATGTTTCTGAACTCATAATAGTGAGTTAATTTGGTTAAAATGCATAAATTCATTTCAAATATGCTTTGCCTATAATAAAGGTTTTTGTATTTCCCAATGAATGAAAAACAAAACGATATTGTTTTTACTGACGTTTTGCTATTTAGTGCTAATAGCTTTATCATGAAACAGTATTAATAATAATGCTTTGCCTATGTTTATAAAAATATTTTAACATATTGTTTGTTTACACTAGATCTCATGACTAAATATTCAGTTATCATGTTTTATTACATTTCCTTTGTTTACCCTATAAATAAAACAACAAAATAAGGGAAAAATGGTTAAGTTTGTTTTTCAGTTTTATTTAGGTCTTTATTGAGGAGTATTTGTAAATTGGGATTAGAGTGGAGATAGTTTTTTGTTTTTATGAGCTATGATATTTTGATTTCAGATGAACTGTTCAATAACACGGAAGAAGAAACTTAAGGAAATTTCATTTAGGTTTTATTTTAAGCTAGTTTAAACGATAGAAATTTGTAACAAAACTAAGATTTGCTTTGATATTTCTTTGCTGTTTAAGACTTGTCAACGTGGGTTTATAAATTCACTTATTACTGTGATGCTAGTTGCATTGGCTGCACTTGGTAAACGCATCTCTAAACATTATCTGCCATAGTTATCAAGAAGACAACGCAGGTTAGTTACTAGCTCAATTCTCGACAGCCTGATGAACTCAGGTCACGTAGCTCCACCAGAGTCATCTTCTAAAACCATCTAGATGGTGAAACGGAATGATACAAGAGGTGTTAGATTTCGACACATGTGTATGGCATAGACCCCAGTAATTCGTCAATATAACACACGAACTCTGTGTGGAGAAAAATTTTGTTCATTTTCTTATTCTACTATAATCTTAAACTTTTTTCTACTTGTTTGCTTCTAATTTTAGTCATTAATCCACTGTTACTACTCATATTACTTTTTGTCATTTTACCAAGTTGTTTTCACCATTTTCACACTTGTCAAGTGGATACTCAACTACCTTATTTCTCACGGAATAACAGTTTTCATCATATCAAATCTCAAACCTTTACTTTCACTGTGTTTCTGACTATTACGTAATTTAAGAACAATAAAGTTCAGCAAAGAGTCTGTCTTCGGCGAATTCATTCACTTAGCTGTACAATCACATTTATCACATTTCAATGGTTCTCTAACTGATATCAGTCCGTGATCAACTCGTAAAAACATAACTAACCCTTACAAACCAAACTATAGAAAATTAATCTGATGCTTGCTAGTGACTTGCTACAGGATGGAGTTTCCTGGAGTTCTAGTGAGAAGTCGTGACCAGTGAGGTCCAATTAGATGTCACGTGTGTGGATGGATGTCCCACCAACGACAATGGTTGGGGTCGCGCTAAATCACGAATTGGTAGAAGTTAGAATTCATGGACTGACCATTGAATCGTGTCCCAGTGGCTGAATGGTATACGAGCTTGCCTTGTCACTGGAAGGTCCTGGGTTCAAATCCCAGTGGATGCGTACTGACGATGATTCCCAAACTAGAATGAAACAGCAGCTGTCCAGTACTCCAGTGCTGGTTTTCAATGGTTCTCTAACTGATATCAATCCCTGGTTAACTCGCAAAAACATTTATATATAATTGTTTTATGTGTGTGTACATTAGGATTGTCAAACAAAAATAAAATAAAAACTAGTAAGGGTTATTGTTTACGTCATCAAAATGTTTCTAATATGTGATGAATAATCAAAATTGTAACTAGGGTGGGGGGTGAAGATTGGTAAGTATTGACAAAGGTTGCGTAATATGAACACATGTCTCCATTAACATCAAATTTCATATTACGCAACCTTTGTCAATACTTACCAATCTTCACCTCCCCACCCTAGTTACAATTTTGATTATTCATCACATTTTAGAAACATTTTGATGACGTAAACAATAACCCTTACTAATTTTTATTTTATTTTATGTTTGTACACACACATAAAACAATTATATATAAATGTGATTGTACAGCTAATTGAATGAATTCGCCGAGAAGAGACTCTTCGCTGAACTTTATTGTTCTTATATTCATGTCTGGATGGGTAAAACGTAACTTTTTTACCTTTAGAAACCACTTCTGAATAACTGAATCAATTATATCATCTCCTGTTACTCAATAATAGACTGCTATACGTTTTTGAAAAATATAAATACTAATAGAACAAGATTTAAGCAAATGCGTATTTTCGGTAAATTCTCATCAGGCTTTACATTTACATAATGAAATATTACTCACAAGTATTTGGGTTATTGTGGTTAATAATAATAATTATTATTTGCTTTATTCCAAAACAGTACTTGTGATACAGAATGGAATTCTCAGCATTTTTACTACAGTATTGCATCCAGTTAGTACATTATCAATAAATAGAATTCTACATAGATTGAGGAAACCACAGTTCATTATTACAACAATACATTGGCATGTCAGTAGCAAAGGTAAAGCTGAAACAGTGTTTGAAGGTGTTAGAAAAGTAGGTGCTATCATATTTACTGGCGTAAGCGAGAGAAAGAAACAAAGCAGCACATAACGGAAGAAAAAAGAGAGAGAGAGAGAAAAGAAAAATAAATAAATAAAATGTTGTACCTATAAATGATATGAGTTGGAAAGACGAGATCCAGTTTTACTACTGACTTTTCAATGGATCATAGGTGTCACGCCTAATGCTTTCTTTATCACACAGAACACGAGCTAAGTAGGGTATGGTTGAGTTTTTGTACTTTCTGGTGCGAGCATATAGTTTTCTATATAGGCTTCTGGTTTTACCTGATGAGATGCAGGGGGACAGTTGTGAGTGAACAGGGTGGTGTGAGTTAGATATAATGGATTTGGCCCATTTTTCACATGAGTCCATGTGCCTGTCGACCAGAATGTTAACAAGCTGGTTAAGTGGCACGTTGCTTACCCTACTGACAACCTTTATCATCCTACGTAATATGTTATAGTCTTTCTTCAGTAGCCCGGGAATAACTAAGGAGGAACATTAGAGAATAATAGGCAGGATGCGAGAATTAACGAATTGTAGGAGTAAGGGTTGGATAATACCAGAATGTTTTAACTTCTTGATGTAGAAGGTAAGACGGAATATTTTCTTAGAAATTGCTAAGATATGAGACTACCAGGAGAGATCAGCAGATAGAATGACACCTAGGTATTTAATTTCCGATTTAGTTTCTATTTCAGTGCCGTCTATGTTGCATACCTCATGAGAGCCAAACAGTTTGTTTAGGTCGGATTTGTGCCTAAAGGCGAAATTGACTGTTTGGCATTTGGAGGGGTTTAGGGTAAGACCGTTTTCCTTGGACCAAATATAGGATGTGAATTAATGGATAACAATCGAGGTAACCACAATAATAATAACAAGGATAAATTTATTCAAGTGTTTATATAATCTAGGCAACGGTGAGTGCATAGGTAAAGTGAGTATACTTGTAGAGGTAGTGGGGAACATCATGAAGCGATTAGACAATATAATAATAAATTGTGAAATGGAGATTAAAATGTACAACTACAGAACAGCATGATATTGATAATATAGTTAGCATTACAAATAAAATAGAAGATAATATTTACAGTTACCCGGTGTCACCGGGAGAGATAACTGTTTTAAGTTGTGGACGAAGACCAAGGTAGCGCTACAGATGGAACAGACTTTTCTTGAACATAGAGACTGGGTTGAAAAATCTTTATGACAGCTACCTCATCTATGCTTAGCAACCAAAAACGTACCAACCTAGGGAGTTAAGGTGGGGCATTGTGTAGAATTGTAAAAGCGGAATTTTGTCATTCTTGTGCTCCACATCCACTAGGTGTGCCAGTGTGGAACTTCTGATTGACTTTACAACTCCAATATCTGACCACTTTGGTCAGTGCTCCAGAAGGCGACGGTGGGCTTGCTGTGTCGTTCTCCTTATGTAATTGTCTCCGAATGAACAGTTAAATTTTAAAATATAAATACGGCTGTAAAGGCGTCTGAAGATGATTTTGTCGGTAGGTAAAATTTTCTTTGCTGAGTTGTCTTTTGTTAGCTTGTCAAATAAGTAAAATATAATTTTGCCATCCTTATCAACCAGTAGCATGACTTTTTTTAAGGTACATACAAAATGTTTAAATAAGTTAGAAGCAGCCATTTGATTTTCATCGTTTCTTCTCATACAGGCCAAAGTAAATAACAATTTTGTTTCCCACTAATTAATGCTAAAATGTAGATCCTTCTCTTGTCAGGATTATGATAAATAGTACTAGATTTCACCAACTAATGTAAGTGTAGAACTTGGGCACTGTGTTAGAATGTAATGCCATATTAAATAAGTTTATTTTAAATATCACACAGTGATGCAGCATTAACAACTGGATGACGTCTCCACCATACATTATTGCCAATCATAATCATATCAATTTAGTCACACTGTTTCACAATTTGTCTTATACATATTTTTTTCTCTCTCTTCAACTTCCTCTTGTTGTCTGTTGCCACCCTCCATATCTGCGGTATAGGCGTCGCATCATTCCGATTGCACATGTGCGGTGTTGAATCGATAAAGAAAGCTTCAGTGATTAACCTCTCTGTCTCTCCACCTAACTATATTACTTTTTAATACTCTCACCCTGTCCCACTCACCCTAATTTGTGATCACATGCAAGTGAATGCAATGCAATGGCTGAGCTCTATTGTCTAGGTTATTTAACTTAGATGGGGTCAATCATTCTAGGCCTAGGTAGGCTTTTGTATCCCGATAATGTAGTTGATCCCGATCTACTAGTTTGACTGACCTATGTCATGGACATCACAGTGATTACATGGCATTTGGTAAATTATATTATTTTTGTTAATTGGATGTGGTGAGTCCTTAAGCTGACAAAGTATGTCTCTGAGAGAGTTGGTTGGTTGGTTCAAATGCCACCGTAATTCCAGCTTCATTGAGAATCATACGTAAGGCCTCTGACATCCCTTCTTCATACGGCAGTGTTACAGAGGCTGTGAATTCATTATAGTAACTTTTTAGAGGTGCTATTTCGTTTTGTGATAAGTTGTTTCTTCCTTTCTTTTGGCGTTTTAGTGTCAATGCACATTGGGCTCTGACTTGTTCAGCAGTGTTTGTCTTTTCACTTAATGCTACTTCTACAATAGGAATGACATCCTCAGGTTTTAATCTGTTAACAACTGCATTGAGGTTTGATCACTTTTCAAGTACTTTTATTTCGTCAGAACTTAAGGCTCTTGTTGAGAGGTTAATTACCCACTTTGTTTTTTTATCGATGACTGACGAATTTTCACTAGTGAATTCGTTTCCTTTAGCAGGATATTTTTCTTCCATTAATTTGTTGAACTTTTTGATCAATTTTGGATTTGTTGAATGCAGTTCAACTTGACCTTTTAGAGTCAAGTAGACTCAAATCAAATTAGTGGAAGAAAAACATCCTCCTCAAAGAAACGAATTCACTAATGAAAATTCGTCAGTCATCGATCAAAAAACAAAGTGGGTAATTAACCTCTCAACAAGAGCCTTAAGTTCTGACGAAATAAAAGTACTTGAAAAGTGATCAAACCTCAATGTAGTTGTTAACAGATCAAAACCTGAGGATGTCATTCCTAGTGTAGGAGTAGCATTAAGTGAAACAGACGAAATCACTGCTGAACAAGTCAGAGTCCGATGTGCATCGACACTAAAACACCAGTATAAAACAGTATAAAAACATCTGCATGAATAACTTAGCTTATTTAAATTGTATCATACTGCATGCATAAGGTACAAGTTCGATTCCAGTTTAATACACTTCTAAGCCTTGCTTAGCCAGTAGTAGATTTGGAAGAATGGGAAAGTTGGTTGTAAAATGACAGTACCATCGCTACTGTAATTTGAAATCTTAAAGCTTTACGCCTTATAATTCACTTGGAATACACAGGAATGATAAGCAAATATCATTCTGTCACATAAGTAATTTCTGTCTTGAATGCTAAACGAATTGAACTTATCACTTGTATAGTTCTTACCATTAACATATGGATTGTATATCTTTGATTAATTAGCTTAGATATCCGTCTTTCAATTAAGTTGTAGAAACTTTATTATCGTTTTAAGAGTAGCCTAATAAGTCTAATCTAGTGTCTGGTATACTGAATTGTAGAATACAGTAGAATAGTAATATATTATTCATGCGGTAGTATACGGTACACATATATTCATTGTTGAAGCCTGTTTTCAGTATAATTATTTTCACCTCACTTTCGTTGCCACCAAATAGAACTACACATTCAATAGGTTAGTGAATAAAAGTATTATTATTTCCTTTAATTCCTAGAGGAAGATTGGCCTTCAACCACGCGCTTCCATTGCGTTTGGTTCTCTGCTGGAGTCTTTACCTGGTTCCAAGTCTGTCCACATGCTTTCATCTCCTCTTCACATGACCTCCTCCAAGTCACCCTTGGATGACCAACTCGCCACTTCCTTTTTGCGTTCCACTCGAGGGCTTATCTATTAATGTCGCTTGATGGCTTCCTTAGAGTATGGCCGATCCACCTCCATTTCTTCCTGCTTATTTGTTTCACAATCGGTTCCTGGTTGGTTCGCTTCCAGAGATCATACCCTATTGTTGATCTTTTCTGGTTAGCCATCTGATCTTGAGTATTGAGTGAAGACAGCTGTTCATGAAGTTCTGTAGTTTGTTTAAAGTACCCTTCGTGACGCGCCAAGTTTCTGATCCGTATAGTAGCACTGATTTCACATTGAAGTTGAAAATCCGGATCTTATTTTTGATACTGAGTGCTGTTGACCTCCACACAGACTTGAGAGAAATGAAAGCTTGCCTTGCTTTCCCGATCCTCGCTTTGATGTCCTCATCAGTTCCGTCCGCCTGTAGTTGAAATGATGCTTCCCAGGTTGGTGAAGGAGGCTGCGTTTTTAGATTTCTCCCATTCATGCTGACTGATTGTTTTCTATTGTTGTTGTTGTTGCCGTTGATGTTGTCCAGGAATCTTCATCAACTCTTTTTTCTCTATGTTCACTTGAAGTCCTATCTTTGATACTTCTTCTGCCAGCTTGTTGCTATTCACTTGCATATCTTCCAATTTGTGGGAAATCAGACATATATCATCGGCGAAGTCCAGATCCTCCAGGTTTTTTGTGTGAGTCCATTTTATGCCTGCTTCCTCATTGCCCACTGTCTGTCGCATTATCCAATCTACTGCAATCAGGAGAATCATTGGCGATAGTAGGCAGCCAGCTTGTCTTACTTCTGTCCTCACTTCGAAGGATTCCATAAGTTTCCCGTTGTGGATTACTTGGCATGCAGCATTGTCGTACAGGTGTTGGATGATATGTATAATTGTCGGTAGCACCCTATAGTAGCGAAGTAGTTACCGAATCACCTCTCGATCGACGCTGTCAAAATCCTTTTCAAAGTCGATGAAGTTGAGATGGAGAGGTGACTGCCATTCCAAGCTTTGTTTAATGATGATCCGTAATGTGGCGATCTGATCAATGCATGACTTGTTTCTCCTGAATCCAGCCTGTTCCGGTCGAAGTTTTTCATTCAGGGCTTGTTTGATTTTCTCCAGCATGATGTGACTTAGTATTTTGCTTGGGATGTACAGGAGCATGATTCCGTGCCAGTTCTTGCATTGACTTAAGCCCCCTTTCTTCGGCAGTTTGAATAAGTATCCTTTCTTCCAATCCTCGGGTACTTTGCCTTCTTTCCACACCTTCTTCAGTAAGTAAGTGAATAAAAGTATTTCACTTCAAATTTAATTTTACACTCCTGTGACTTCAGACCGTCAGAAAAGACTTATCCCGATGTAAACGTTATTTTGCATCTTTCCATTGATTGATTTGCACTGGAGTGAAATGCTGTGTCTCTATTGTCATATCGGTGCGTATGATAAGTCAGTCAACAGGAAATACAAGATAAGGTAGACAAATAACAAGTGGTACTTGTTGTACAAGTGCGGGGTGGTTCTTGTAACCCAGTGGTCTAATGGATAACGGTCTGGCGTCTGAAACCATGAGTGTTGAGTTGTAGTCTCAGTGGGAATATCATCCGCTACTCATTTGAGATGCAAGTACATCCGGATCACAAGCGCTTAATAGGATTAGTGGCTATCATTAAGCAAATAATCATTCTTTACAGCTAAATATATTTCGAGTATTAGTTTGCAGGGATTTGATTGGTTATAGGATTTTATCATAGGCTGACATCTGTCAGCGAACCACTGGTAAACCTGGGCGTACTGGACAGATATTTTATCCTACTTTGGGAATTCATAGGCCATTGGATCGGGTCTTTGAGCCCGCCTTGCAATTGGAAGGTCCTGAGTTCGAAGCCCGACGGGTACATAATGCTGAAGAGTTCCCAATGGAACGAAACAGCTATCTAGTACTCTCAGGTTATCTAATGTTTTTCTCTAACCGATTTCAGCTCATGATGAAATCCTGAGTATATTTCATTAGTTAACTTTGTGAGTGATATTCGCGCAGTAATTATTCATTTATTACAAAATGTTATTTGTTTTGTAATAAAAATAAAAACAAAAAAAACCAGAAACAAAAAGCTTTTATTCACCTGTCTAAACATATAACTAGTCAGTGGTTCATCCAACTTTGGTTGCCTTTCTATAAATTCGAATAAATCCATACCAATACCATGTGATTCCATAACAAGATAATATGCTTTAATGTCTTCATTTGCCCAATCTAATAGACGTACAATTGCTGGATGCTTAAGTTGACATAATATCCATATTTCTTGAGGTATATGGCATAAATTAGTAGTAATATCATTCTATAGGCGAAAATAAGAAAAAATAACCTTCACTGAATTCACAATTCTTATTTTAAATACTCATTTGTTTACTTCTAGCAGTTAAACTGAGTCAGGTAGGGAGATGCAGACTTCCGGGTTGGGGCCCTCAGGACTCTAAGAATCAATGGCTGGAGACAATAGGTGACATGGCTCAAAATCGTTGTCAGTGGCGCAGATGTATTCAGTCTCTGTAATCTTTCACATTCCTTTCTACCATTACTCATTCTGTTTCACTCTTATACTTGTCAAAACTCTATTGATTCTCTTCACTCATTTTCCTGTCTACCTTTGTGTGCTATTTGGAACGTGGCAACTCGAACTGGTGCACTTCGGTGCCAAGTTCTATGTTGAATCCAGAGAGACAGACAGACTTCTAGCAGACGTATGACTACTCACTGGCTGAAGTACCCAAATTCCAGCCAATGGGTTCAAAGTTCGAATCTCGCTTCACTTACTTTAGCCTGAGTAACCACACAATAAGTGTGTATGTGTGGTTTACTGGTCTATACTGGGTAACTAATTAACCGATGAGTCGGTGGTTCAGTGGTAGAATTGTAACAACAGAAGACAAGGGCCAGGCAACACATCGTTTATTAAGGAAAATCAACACAAATTTATGGATTTTGATGTACATTATTGTTAGTAGAAAATACAGTCTTTTGTTTGGTTGTTTCTCACAGAAAGTTAACCTTGTATCTCTTTGTGGCTGTGTCAGATCATCCATATGCTAAATGTATCCGCCTACGCAAAGCCTTTGTTCTCATTTTCTCACCACCAATATTGGGGACATAAACATTGACGTCAATTACTGTCTACCAACTTTGGTTAGCAGCCAGCTCTCACCACAGAATGTCCTCCAACTACTCACGTGGTTAGGATTCCATTTCTGACCAATGCATTCAAGAACCTCTCCTAGCCAGTAGTAAGCGTGGTAAAGGAGGAAAGTTGGGCATGATGCTAACAAGCTAATCCTGTAAGAGAACAACACCACGCTTACTGAAATCTTAAAGCTCAAGCCTGAAGTCATATGTTCTGCCGGGTAATAATAATAATAATCTACTTTATTCTAAAAACAGTAATTATAATACAGAATGGAATTCTCAGTATTTGTCACAACATTGCATCTGCTTTACTCAAAATATAAATAAAATTAAAAATTAAAACAAAATTAATCGGAGGAATTTGTCCACATTTACGACATAAAGTCAAAAATATTCGAAACATGAATTGAGACTATTAAATATTATAATAACAATAATGATAACAGTGAGTTTGTTTCAAACTGTATTGTCGATTCAGTTTGGAAACTTTAGCATGTTATAGACTATTGGATCTAATGTTCTGTTGATATAGTATAGTGAGGGGAAATACAAAATTAACAGTTATAACACAGCTTAAATTATGTCCACACTTATGAAAAAAAAATAAACAAAAACAAAAATTGAGAGGATTATAAATATAAGAAATACAATAACAACAAAGCCTGATGTTATGTGGGTGGAGGAAATGGTTTATTTAGTAGTGCAAAGAAGGTTAGTTAGTTCATGCCTGACACTATTTTCATCAAATAAAGTACGTGCTAAATATGGTATAGTGGAATTTTTATACTAAGACGAACGTGCATAAATTCTTCTGAAAAGACTTCTTGTTTTACCTGAGGAGACACAAGGTTGGAGCTGAGGGTAGAGTGGGTGCTCAGAGTCTGACAAAATTCCTTTAGAGAATTTGTTGCATGACATCAAGTGCCTATCAGTGACAATGTCAACGATATGGCCCAATGGGATACCACTCGTCCTACTGACAGTCTTCAGAGTTCTACGAAGTATGACATAGTCCTTTTTAAGCAATCCAGGAAAGAATAATGGTGAACAGTAAAGAAGAATAGGTAAAATACACGAGTTGAAATGAAAAATAAAACAAGTGATTAATTCAGTTTTCTTCGTTGGTAGAAAAAACAGCAGGAGAATAATGGAAAGTATTCGATGTTGATGTATATACTACATTATCCTGTCTAGGATTAGCGCTGAGGTGGTAGAAGAATTAGTCATTATCTAACTCAAAGATTCTTTACACTGAATCAACAACTGAAATAAAGCTATGCTGTTGTTAAGACTAAAAATAGTACAGTTTTTAAAAGGAATATAAAGGTATTTTCTATAGTTTGGTTTGTAAGGGTTAGTTATTTTTTTACGAGTTGATCATGGATTGATATCAGTTAGAGAACCATTGAAAACCAGCAAGGAGTACTGGACAGCTGCTGTTTCATCCTAGTTTAGGAATCGTCGGAAGTACGCACCCACCAACGGGGTTCGAATCCAGGACCTTCCCGTTAAAAGGCAAGCTTGTATATCATTCAGCCACTGGGACCCGATTCAATGGCCAACCCATGAATTCCAACTTCTACCAATTCGTGATTCAGTGCCACCCCATCCATTGTCGTTGGTGGGACATCCATCCACACACGTGACATCTAATTGGACCTCACTGGTCACGACTTCTCACTAGAACTCCAGGAAACTCCATCCTGTAGCAAGTCACTAGCGAGCATCAGATTAATTTTCTATAGTTTGGTTTGTAAGTGTTAGTTTCAATGGTTCTCTAACTGATATCAATCCGTGATCAACTCGTAAAAATATAACGGTAATAGACAATGTGAGAAATAGATAAGAAAGTCTAATTCTGGCATCTTATTTATATACTTTGTGGTGTCCTTAATTTTTATGATCTTGACTAGAACTGAACAATTTATGCACATCTTGCATAATTTCTACAATGTTAAGTTTTTTTTTTACCAGACAGTATCCTAGCAACGACATGTAATTTAATACTAACAAAAAATAGAACCAAAAATTGGATAATTATATATGTATGTCAGTGTTCACATGGAAATTAAAGAACATGTATATCTTCATAATTAAAGATACATTTAATTCATGAATGATGTAATAAGATAAAGCTTATTTATATGCACAAACATCTTGCATAAAGCTTAGTTTTAATTAAACAGTATGAAGAGCACTTCTATTAGGTGAATATTTGTACTGTTCGATTATTAAACGTGACTATTCGTCGTTGAGTAGATGTCTGTAGGTATTATAAACTTATTCTCCATCTAGATTTCATCACGATTCGAGAATCATTGGAAGGCAGAAGGTTTTGGGCACTTATTCCCTTCTAGCTTGAGGTTGTTCAGAAATGCGCACCCATAAGCCCCCTGCCATGACTTTTTATGAGACCAGTTCGTATAGACATAAAATGTTGTTCTGCTTTGTTAAAAATGAAATTATAAACAATGTTAGAGTGTTAAGTGGGTTTTTTACACGGGTAAAGTAGAATATTAACCAATTAATAATAGTGTTCCCTTAAATAAAATTGTCTTATGGGGTAAGTTGATTTTAAAATAGTGGAGAACTTTGGTGTGTTCTTTAAACTGGATGGTTAAACTGCTAACGCTTTTGTTGTCCTTCTGGAAAACTTAAAAGTGAGTGGCTTGAAGGGTTCTCCACGGAAGGGATATACCTCATTTCTAGTAATCTTGAGTGTATTAGGTGTTTCCGGAGACTTTCGTATCACTGTTTATACCTCTATTCCAATTAATCATTTCTTTGACCTCATATGTGACCTATTAATGACGTAGGGGATTACAACTTATGTCTTTTGACTGCTAGTTAGTATGAATAGATGTGAAGGTGAAGGAGACATCTGGTCTATCCAACGTAGTGATTTTCATTCTTGATATAGTTTATTTCTTAGGTAACAACGGTTTCGTCTTCTTTTTCTTTTGATTCTTTCTACCTAGTTTATTAGCCTGTCCTAAGCTCAGAAAAACAGGAAGGTTGGGTGTGAGGCTAGCCACTATACCTCGGAACCTTAGTCCAGTCACAAATGAAACGTCAAAGCAGAGGTAAAGTGAAAAATAACAGAAAGTTAGGCCCACACAGTATAGGGTAAAGTGACTGTGCTCAATTGCATGCAACATCTATTGTATTGGAAATGAGAATTTCATCCGTATTGGTGGAGTTTTTGCATACTTAGGCTTCTAATTCGCAAGCTTTGTCAATTTGCCAAAGCATCTAAAAGTGATATCTGGTTTTTCACTTTCTTTCCTAATGTAAATTATGTTGTTGAAAATATCCTTGATTATGATTAATATTTCGTCCACGTAGCGTATCCAAATTTTCATTTGGTTCATCAAACTACTACGGCAACTGAGTCCTCAAAACAATTGCCAATTGAATGCAGATATCATATTAAATTATCTTAGCGCGGAGTTTAGTAATCGTTTATAACAAGAAGAACATAATCATGAAAACGATTTCAGGTGTAAAACTTCTGAAATTACCTCCAGATGTATTTATTTACGTACATATACTTGCAGTAACGTGTGCACTAGAAAAGCAGAGATGTTTCTAAATAACTGAGTCTCTTTTTATTTGCTATGAAACCTTTCAGAAAGAGCAGCTCGAATTCCTAGTGGTATGATTTTTAGATATATACTGGATATAAGTTTTATCTACTACTGAAATACAGCCTTTACATCACCAATGAACAAAGTGGCGATAGATTTCTACATCAATGTATCAATTGACACTTATGCGTACTAAGGAATCTTATGGTTCATCTTGTAGTGCTCTGATAGTCTGACGTTTTCCCACGGCTTTACACATTATCCTTTCATCCTACCGTCTCACATATTCTTAAACAGTATTTTTACTTCTATAACTTTCATCTAAATTGGTGATGAAATTGTTTGGGACAGCCTCGAATCTGAAAACTGCTTCTATTGATATAATGGATGATAACTGAAGGTGAAGTGAAAATTTGGCTGGCGGTGGGATCCAAACCATACAGCTTTGGATTACTCACCCACTAAGAGCCTAAACAAGCTAAGAAACCTAGCTGCTAATTTGGTAATCCTTTCATGTAATTATCATTGGTTATATCCAAGTATTATATGACGTGAATGGTACTTAACTGTC